TTTTTTTCTTCTGTATATTGGCCTATCACTGACAACGCCTTGATTTTCTAAGAACTAGGTATAAACTGACTTGTCCCTATCGTTTCCATCTTGTGAAAGATCGTTGTGTTTTCACATCCAATATATACAGATATATTATATATATATGTGTGTATATACAGATTTTCTAAAGCACTGAGGCGTAAGAGTGGATAAACAACACTTATGTAAACGAAAACCTTAACAGAGGCTTTAATCAGTATGAATCTAGTGTTTTTTTCCACACAAAGATAAATCATTTTTATTGGATCCTAAACCTTCAATGAGAGACATCACTGTCTTGTTTTAAAATGAAAACACTGTTTAAGGATCTTTTCGTGTCATTCTCATGAACCTAATATTGCATATTGTAATGTCTCGCAAGCTAAGTGTCCCTATGTCCCCACCACTTTCTAAACAGTCTTTCTACACAAGTGACACCCTTGTATTTCACATCATTTGATTCGCATCTACATAATGTGAAACCTGACTAGAGTGACTGCAGTGAAATGCCACACCCAAGGTAGGTGGGTACAACTGCAGACAGGTACACAGGTATTTGTATAGTTGTAAAATGAAAGTGCCAGACAGTTTGTGACCATACAATTTAAGAACACTAAGGAGATAATTTTGTCTCAATATTTTTTGTGTGAACAGATTCACAATCTCCTCCCACAAATACAAAAAAGATTTGTAAATTCATAAAATAAATAAATGTATTAATAAATAAAATAATATCGGTGAATACAGTAAATTAATTTACAAAAACTTAGGTACATACTTGTGAATCACAGTTCTACACTGATGGATTTGCATTTTACACACATGGAATATTGAGACAAACTTTCTGTCAGTCCAAAGGAAAGTCCACTCGTATAGCTTGGCCCTTTTTGGATGTGATCACCTGCTGATGACATCATTTTCAATCTCAGAGTGTATTGAATCTCTGCATCCAGTGTTTTGAGAGTTAATGACGGTGGGAACAGGCTCAACAGGTTTGTAAGTCAGGTTGCCAGATAACTTGGTCATGAATTTGAACATGCACTCAATGTTACACATGTGATGATGTCTGCTCGTAACATCACAGTAGGTCAGTTTTCTCAGAATGTACACTTATACCCTCTGGGTGATGATACAACATGTTAAAACCTGTTTTGAATTTACCACATTTGCTAAACAAATTTCAACATGCACCAGTACTTTTTTTCTTCCAGTGCCAACAATGCCTTTCACAAAACATAGTAACACAGCTTTTAAAGCCAAACATATTTTTGAATTCTAATAAATAAAAATATATAAATATTAATACTACTACTACTACTACTACTACTAACAACAACAACAATAATAATAATAATAATAATAATAATATTGATAATAATACTATTCTATATGTTCTATATTTTTATAGTCAATTTATATATTTATGTACACAATATTCTCTGCAATTCATCTGAACAACACAAACCAGAGTAATGCACATGTAAATATCTGCCACATTGTTCTTTCTCTTCAAATAGTTTATCTTAATAGTATTCTTTTCTCTCTTCTTTTATTAGTCTTATACAACTTGCATTTGTTCATTCCATATTTACATATTTCTACATTTATTTATGTCAGCTGTATGTTTGTCTACATGTAGCACCTTATCACTAAAGCAAATTCCTCATATGTGTAAAATACTACTTTGCAATAAAGCTCCTTCTGATTCTGATTCTGATTCTAATAATAATAATAATAATAATTTATATTTTAAAAAGGAATCAAATAGTTCATTGACACATCAGTAAGTTTCAGATCTCATAGCAGTGGCTGACATTTCAGAGTTACTATTAGCAGGAGTGTCAGCTTCTGTGCTACCAACCAGAGCATGTCATAGACCTGTGTTGGCCTTAATCATTTCAGCAGCAAGGAAGTGCCCCGACTCACATGTGTCTTCTGTGGTCTGTAGGCAATCTGGCATCCAAAGGGTGGAATCACTGGTGGAGATGAGCATAGGAATAAAAAATACCTCACTCTGAGAGGGCACACACCTATCCAAAAAGCAGTGTACAGCAAACAAAAATGACAATTAACCCTTGTTATCTTGGCCATTCCAGTGAATACAAACTTTAGACCAAGTTTTGTTGGTCAACTGCTTTCTGCTGCCTCAAGAAAGAAATGCTGCTAATGGGAACACTCAAAATGCACCTCATTTTTATACCAACACTTCCCTAGGCACACAAGTACATCCTACTTACACAACGTTGGCACTGACTATGACTAGCAATGACACTGACGCTGCACTGTGCACCTGTTGTAAGATAGGGCCCTTATCAAAATGCCATCCTAACTGGCCAAGTTAAATAAACATTTTTGGTGACCTAAACAGACCCACTCCCAGGATAAACTCAAGCACGACAAAAGAAATATATATAATGTGTATGTGTGTGTATATATCTACATATCTAATATCCTTGAGCAACACCCAGTTGGCAGAAGAGGTTGTACATTATTCATCACATTATAAATGACATAACATACAATACATTTTTATGTATATCTGATGACTTCAGTAGCTGACAAGAATAAATCTGTGCCCGTGTTCTTCACTGTGCAACTGAAACAAGTGTGACAGTGTTTATTACAAACATTGCTTGCAGCCTGGCCATGCATAAGCTGATTAGTCTTTTCTCTGTTGTCAATTTTCTTTTTTCTATGACGTTGAATGATGTGCCATCTCGACCTTCTCAGCATGTCAAGGTAACTGGTGATATATTGTTGATAAGTTGTTAAGCTAATGTAAGCATTTTAGAATTATACAGATGAAAACATAAATTCCTACTTACTGATTTCGACCCTGTTTTGCAAGCTTCAGAAGAAAGGCCAAAGTTATTACAACTTATTCTGTGAGAAACATGAATGTCTGTTCCAAATTTAAACAGCAAACAGTCGTTTGCAGGAGTGAAGGTGAGAGGAAAAAACTGTTTTTGGAGATCATTGGTTTTATTTACGATTTATAAAAAGACTCATAATGTGCTGACTAAAGTTGAGGTGTTGAAAGAAACAACTCCTGGCAAAACGTCTGGCTGAATTAGGTAGTTAGTTATCAGTGGTTCAAGGTGGGAGGTGATATTTCATCCTCCAGATTGAAATATCAGAAAATAAAAACCTTTAGGATGCATTGCCTTGACATTTTGTATGGAAGATGATGAAGCCTACTGACTTTGACAACCCACCGAATGTTCTGCTAGCACCACTATGCAGTTAAACAACTTCAAAATTAGTGAAAAACTCAAGTCTATATCCTTTATAATAATTGTATATGTTAAAAATCCTCCTGAGTTTCTCTGATACTCCAGTATCAGAGTTTACTCTTATTTTCCTCATCACCTGTAGTGTTGGTATTCTTCCTGGATCTTATAGCTGTTTCCTCAAAGGTCCAATTTGGATATCCACAAGATGTGCATCCATCTTGGGTTTAAATTTTGACCCATGTACCGTCCACATTTCTGTACCAAGGGCTCGGTGGTGTTCCTCTGAAGGACTTCAGGACTCTGCTTTCTATTTAGATGTTGGCCACAATAGGATTTACTGCTGATCCTATGGCACAGCCATGTTTCTGTCTGTCGAATCCCCCGTTGTGTTGGAAATAGGTGGTGTTCAGACAGCGAGTTCAAAAATCTGGTCTGAGCTGTGGTTAGTTCTGTTGTTCAGGGTGTTGTCTTGTAGCAGTCGTGTCCTTACGTTTTCCACTACCTCCATGGTGGGGATAAATGTGAACAAGGAAGTCACATGATAGTACACCATGGTTTCACCTGGGTTCAGTTTCAGTTCTTGAACTTTGTTCACAAAGTCAATGGAGTTTTGGCGTGCCGACCAAGGGGGCTAGGACAGTAAATATATATTTTGACAAGTGAAGTGAGTTGATACTGCTGATAATGGACCTGAGGGGGCTTCCTTCTTTATGAATCTTTGGTAGTTCGTATATGCAGGGGATGGCTTCTCCAGGATACAAGCGGTGATATTGTTCACGGGTGATTTTCTACTGTCCACTGGTGGGATCTCGCCTTAGTGTTTAATATGTATTAGTGTCACTGAGTAGTGTGCTGACTCTGCTATGGTAGTCCACTGTGTTTAGGACTACCATGCATCTTCTTTTGTCAGCTAGCATGAAAGGGATGTTTTGATCCTTGCTTAGTGATGTCACAGCTTTCCTTTCATGGATGGTGAGGTTGGTAGGGGGTGCCTTTGCATTGGAAATAGCTACTGAAACCTTCAGCCTGAGCTGTTTTTTTTCTGTTAATTTGTTCTTCTATGGTTGATTCTGCTACCGCGATGAGGTCAACTACTGATAGCTGCTGTGGTCTGATGGCAAAGTTTAATCGTTTGGCCAGAACATTGTTGTTCTGTTTTGGTAAGTTCCCTTATCTGACAGGTTCTTCACCCATCTGTTGTCTATTTTATGCAGTGTGGAGTTATCTTCCCATTTCTTCCAGGAAAATTCTTCTGCTTTCCTAGTGTTGCCGGCTCATGACTTTAGAATTTGGGATTTCTGTGTATGTGCTTCCTTGCTTTTGGCGTGTTGAAAATGATGAAATCAGTGACCTTTTCTGATGCTGCACTGGGCAGATGTGTTTGTGGAGTAAGCTGTCAGTCTCTGTATTCAAGGCATCAGTGGTGAAGTGGATCCGTCTCACTCTTTCATTCAGTGTCATTCATTTGGCTTCTTAACATGGAAGTGGACCAAAAGGGAATTCAGAAGAAAGGCAGCCTCTCTTAGCCAATCGAGTACTTACTTTGTTGCTTTGGACAGCCCACAGAGACAACGGAGGGATAGAAATAGACAGATCTCATTGAAGGAACTGCTTTGTGGCATGGCACAACTGATATTCGGGGAAAAAAACAGAAGGACTTCTCTGAAGGGAGAAAATTTTTTAGAAACCAGAAAATGACGTTCATTATTATTGTGTGATTTGAATAAAGTTCTGTGAGATTCAGTGTTTGTTTTATTTTTTATTTTGTCTTGTCACGTAACTATTGAGAAACATCACTATAGCACACACATCTGATAGTTGTCCTGAAAACAAAAAAACGATGTATATAACTTGATTGTGCATTACAGGATTGATGTTATACAACCATTATTACACAAGGAGACCAAGCGACCTAAATAGGTATATGACCACGGTATGAATGCAGCATGGACATATATAGTTACTATACCACTGTCACTGTGGAAATTTATTATTTTTTGTCTTCAACTTGTTGTCCCCACTCTGGTCAATGTTTATTACAAAGAAAAACATACATGCTTCCCCTCTACTTGAAAGATAACTGCTTCAGGAAAAACAGTATATGTTTTAATATATAATATTTATATTAATTTTAGCACAATGACAAACTGACATAAACTCAGTTCAGACTCCTTTAGATCATGACAAAAAGCTTTCATATTTGTTTGAATAATACCTCATATTCAACAAGTCCTCCAACCTAAACAACAACATAGGATTTTTCAACCATGCCTCCGTCCACCCCAGCCCACCACCTCCGCAATAGGATTTTCTGGCTATTTCTTCATCTCTGGGACAGAACTGGATGACTTCCTTTTCTGAAACCAAATTCAACTGTGTATCTAATAGGCGTAAATCTAAGTAATCACATTTGTTTAACAGCAACAAGTCTTGACCAACATGATGGACTGGATTTTACGTGTTCCTCCTTTATTCAGTTTCCTCAAGCTCAAGGATGAGAGGCCTCATGCTTCTCATCCCTTTAAGGATTTCATAGAGGGCGTCCTTGCCTCTTGAGCTGGCTGAAGTCAAACACTGAAGAATGCCGCTCATCTGGTCTTTTGTGGTTTTCAAAGCTCTCACAACATTATAGTTCTCCTTTGAGATCAATCCCCTATCCTTGAGTTTACCCAGGATGAATCCTGTGTCGCTCACTCTGTTAATCAGAGCTGCCTGATGACGATCCACAAAATGCTGACCTGAGGCTGTCATGGAAGATAAAAGCAAAGCAATAAAACAAACAAAAAATAAACAGTGAATACTAGCTGTAATAGCCATATATTAAAATTCTAAAACAAGGAACTGATCACTTCACAATCCTTATTTGTATTTTAGAACTTACCTCTAGTGGTGTTTAGCCAGGCACACAGTTCTGGTTTTGTTTGTCCATGTTTTGAGAAATCCATCTCTGTGACCTCCACTGCTACACAGTACAATGGAAAGGGATTTCATCAGAGGTGCACACAGTGAAAAATAACATTTCAAACATTCAACAGCAATGTGACTCTTCAAAAGCAATGATTCACTTACTCAGGATGATCTGCAGACCTTTCTTTGAACAGTCTTAATTGACACTATTTTCTGATTTTATAGTGTTATTTAAGCACGTTTAGCTGGAAGTAGAACATGTTAGTGCTGTTTCACTGAGAGACTGAGAGACTAATTAAACTAGAACTACAAGCAGTTCTGTGAGGGGCCTCCCAACGCGAGCCACACCCTGCACCGCTCCGTGGGCCCAAGGAGTGATGGAAGTGTCTGGGCTCAAAAGGAGCAGCTCCAAATGGCTATTGTACTGTAATTAATGTTGTCATAAAAGCGCCATGTAGTGTCCGACTGACACCAAATTTTACACAGCTCCTCGGAGCAATACGGGGAGGTAGAGTACCTAGTTTCGTTTTAATCAGACACACCTACGAATGCTATTACACCTTTTCCCAGTGGAATCTCGATTTTCCTGCACGATTCAGTTTGCAATAACAGCGCCACCTATTGTCCAAATTGCATCAAATTTTGCACATGGCATTGAGGGCCCATGGCAAATAAATGACCTGAGTTTCATGTTAAAGGGTTATGGAGATGTAAAATGAATATATGTGGAGTCTTTTTTGGTATGAATTCAATAAGACATAACACCGCCACCTAGTGGCCAATTGACACCATATTTTACACAGGGGCAATGGGATATGATATGGGATATTGAACCAAATTACATTTTGAGGCAAAAGTAATTTGGTTCAATATCCCATACAAATGAATAGGATTTGCCCATGCTGACTCAGTTTCGATTATAGAGCCACCTATAAAACAAATTGCACCAAATTTTGTAGCTGTCATCAGGAGCCCATGGGGATAAATTGCTGGTAGTTTGGTAAGAGTCGGAATTGCCATTATGCAGATATAAAATGAATGTAAGGCAATGGGATTTTTAACAAACGTCATTCATCTCAAATAAAAAGACCACCTATGGCCATAGGGTCAACTTTGGTCCCTCGAGTCAGGAGACGATCCTGAGCAAGTCTTGCAAGTTTCATGTCAATGCAACTTGGGGTTATAGAGGAACAGCTATTTCCTGTTATACAATGCCACCTAGGGACTATTTGCACCACCAGATTTTGCACAGCCCCTCAGTAAGGCACGCCACATAAGGTCCCCAAGTTTGATGTACAACGACCATTCCAAACCTAAGAAATTACATTACTTTCTGTTTTTAACATTCAATCAGTAATCCAAATGCCTGGATTACTGATTGAAAAAAACCCACTATATATATAGTGTTTTTTATACCTTAACCTTTTCTCTCTTTATTAACCTTTTCTTTCTATTATACTCTTTATTAGTTTGTTCACATACGTAGGGTTTAGTTAGAGCTGTGAGACTTTTTAGTGTTTTTCCTCTCATGCTGTTCCTCTCCTTGAATGTTCATTCAAGGCCGGGAGAGGATCTCTATTCCCCAAAAACATAAACCTAGACTGTGTAAATGAGTGTGCATCCCTTTGCTGAGGCCAGATCCCTGTAACTGCTCTAGGCAGCAGGTCTCTGGACCATTACATTACATTACATTTATCTGACGCTTTTATCCAAAGTGACTTACAATTACTATATCTATATGTCAGAGGTCGCACACCTCTGAAGCAACTAGGGGTTGTAAGTGTCTTGCTCTCACAGTCGATTCAAACCCAGGTCTCTCACACCAAAGGCATGCGTCTTATCCACTGCTCCATCACCACCCGCTGTATGTGTGTTGTAGTACTTCTCTGTTTATTCTCGTTTATTAATAAATTCTTCAAAGACAACAGTTTGTTGTTACTCAATTATTTGCTCAATCCCTCACCAGCAATATACAATTTCTACGACAGTGGAAGCGTGGGAATTTTTGCGCCTGAGGTTTATGCAGGAGTCTGTGCCTACCCTGTGAGTTTCGTGTCTGTAGGTCTTACGTCTAGGCTACAGTATCACTTTTACGTATGGAAGAATAAAAATAAAAACCAATATGAAAACAATAGGAACAATAGACCTCTAATAATCAGCTGAAAATACATAAAATATTTGGTATGGTTGCTACAAGTTATTTATATTAAATTATAATTTTAAGTCTGCAGTCAATAGTCATAAAAGTTTACAGTGGACAGCTCTGCCATTTAGTTGATTGGAATATGTTTGCTGTAATTTTACTGAACCATCTACCAAAAACTTGGTAAATCCCTGACCCTCAATGACAGAAAGGATAAAAAAAAATCTGAATAATCAAAACATCACAGAGATTTTTTCAGTTTTGGTTCATGTTCATATTAAGAAAGTACTTACTGGCATTTACAGCACATTTGCTGAAGTAAGAAGAAAGTAAATTGGTACGACAAGTTAATTTAATTATATTAAAACTACGTACTGTACTAATTAAAATATGCAGAAAGTAACTAGATATTTAATTATGTTAAAGTTATAGTATGTTACCCTTTTCCGCAGTTTCTGTCTGGATGCAAAAGGCTACAGGTCCTCTGATGGTAAATCCAATGTAAAAGGAAACTTGGCGTGGTTTCCAGAGGCTGTTTCGTAGGTTTGCATCTACTTCAGTTGCTGTGCCACCAACAGTTGCATAGACTTTGTAGTTTTGTACCACCCCATCAATTTTGAGAAGGAGTGCTTGGACAATGGGATCTTTGAAAATCTTCTCATTGCTCCAATCTTGGATTGTTTCCTTATTCTGCTTAAGAACCAGTCCCTCGAGGACCTTTCTGTGAACAATTCTGTTCAGATCTTGACCTTTTCCAATGAAAAACAGAGGGCGGAGGTACCTTGATCGAAAGTATTTCTTATACGCATGGTCATAAGAACAGCGCATACACTGAATTAACTGACTAAGGTCAAACACACATTTGTCTTGACTATCTGTTGGCCAGTACAAGAGGAGGGCTAACATGTGGAGCTCAGGTGCGTCTTTGGAGGTCAGTGGCATTTTCTGTCCAAATGCATTTAAAAACTTGCAAGAGGAATGTAGAAAGATTTCTTCCCACCATGTAGTGACTTCTTTAAGCTCTGCTTCAGTGTATTCTCTGTCAAGACACAAGAGTACTCCAGCAGACGTTTCTGCCAGGATTTGTTTAAGCTTCTGGATGAAATCATTGACTTTTTCTTCGAAATGTTCATCTCTGACATATTTCCTGCAGCATTCTGCGATGTCTTTAGAAATGTATGAGGGATCGTCTTTCTTCATGTCAAGCTTTGAGTAGGTCAGATATTTATCAAGAAATGCACATTTTCTCTCAACCTCGTCTCTGCTTATTAGATCATTTAGGAGTTTGTTGCCTGAGCTCATGGACGCATGCTTTGTGAGGTCATACACAAGGTTGCAAACCTGCAGGTAACCAATCTGCCCTCTGATGTTAAAAACACATGGTATTTTGATCTTTCTAGCGTCTTCCTCGTCTGTCCCATGTTCTTTTTCAGCAAGTTCTTCTTCATCTTTGAAAGCTTCAATGGCTTTTGTGGCCAGTTGCAAAATTGCTCTCGGTTTGACAGGATGCTCTTTGTTCTTCAAACAGTTCTTGTAGACTTGTCCCAGTGTATCAGCAACAAATGAATTTTGGGGATCTCTTTCCTTTGCTCTCTTTGCCCACATTATTGCCTTGTTGTAGTCTTTTATTTCTATATAATAGAAACGAGCAAGTGCCTGAGGATAAAATGGATTCTGATCAAATTGTTTTGTTGCCACCTTTAAAACTGATGCACACTGAGCCTTGTCCTCCATCTTTTGAATGTCGAGAATCAGTCTAGAAAACTTTTCTTTGTCCTCTTCACTCTCTGTATTTTTGAATGGGCTCTCTTCAATTTTACATTCTTTTGGTTTTGGTCTTCTTTTGGTTAACATGTTTTTGACAAAACCAAGCAAAGATGGAGGAACCTCATCGCTGCACAAACAGGTCAGGAGGTTTCTTGTTGTGTCACTTCTGGTCACACCTGCCTCAGCCATCATCTCAGTGCAACACTTTGCTATCATAGGGTGAGCCATGCAGACTCTTTTTTCAGATCTGGTATCTCGTTGGAAGGTGATGATGAGATCACTAAAGGGCTTCATTCTGTCCTCCAATGAAAGGTCTCCATGGATGGAGTCTTCACATTTGAATAAGTCCAGGCACTGAGACTCCAGGAGATATGAGCCTGGTACATAGGCATTCAGCAGGGACAGGAAGGCAGCAAGCTGGGTCTTCTGTGATTTGTTTGCTCTCTTGATTGTTTTGAACACAGCACAGGCCTCCTGGATGTAAGCCTGAGAGAAACTAGTTTGCATTATGTTAAAGCCATGGAACTTCTTCGATTTATCACCGTATTTTGTGCTGAGCTCCTCCTTTTTCTCATTAAACTTTTGCTTCTCTGACTCAGAAAGCACTTCCTGTAGGAAAACATGGTCACTGTGCAGAACTGCATCATTTCTAATACAGCTGAGGAAAATCACTACAGGCATATTGGTGACTATCTCCTGTTCAGCAATCTTCATCATAATTTTTTCTTGCAGATCATCCAAATTTTGCTCATCATTCAGTAACAGCAGCACAGTATTCTGGTGGCCTCGACTGCCAGCTGTGAAAAGGTGGACCACCTCCTCTGCAACATCTGTAATGTTTGAGGTTGAGCCTGTTAAAGCAGCACACCTGAAGGTTTTCCGCAAGTCCCACAACACCTGCATGGCCAATGTGGTTCCCCCACATCCTGGCTGGTGGAACAGTTTAACAGTTGATGTTCCAGGGAGTTTTCTTCTTTGGTCAATTTGTTGCACAAGTGTATCGTATCCATCTCGTTTAATAAAAGGCCTTCCAGTGCCATCTGACTCTGCCTGTTCACTTAAGTGAAAGTTTAACCATTCAGGCGGGGCTCCTCTGTAAAATTTTTCCTCCGTCTGCTCAAGATGTTTTGGATGGAAAGACTCTCCTTCAAACTGATTTGCATAAAGAATATCCAAGAGTGAGAGGGAATCTCTGAATTCGCTTCCCACGTAAATTTCATCACTTCCAACAGTGGACAGGGCTGGTCCATTTGCCATCACTTTCAGTTTCACGTACCTTGATAAGGAACATAAAAAACAAATAAACAAAATTTGAAAGCTGCCAGGCATCGGTAAAACAACATTTTAAATCAGAAGCTAACATACAAAACATATCAGTAAATATCAGTTTATGATGCACAAAGTAAATTATGTAGGATAAATTAGCCTCACGTTAACCAGGTATGAGATCAAAATGATGCTTACATGTTAATGAGTCAGTAATAGCGATCCAGTAATACACCGAAAGGGATGATTTGCTGCCTAATGAGAATTGTCTCCTAAACCTTTGAAGACCCGCACTGGCATGATGCATTCACTAATCCTAACCATCACAGTTTAATTTCTAAAATGAAAGTCTCGTAATTCCCCTCCACACACTTGAAATAATTCTGAGCAGAACATATGATCTGTCAAGTACAAAGGCCCAACTAGATGCTTTGCGGTCGGAAGATGAGTGGAATGAAACAATTAGAGATGCCAATACATTTACTAGAGAAATGGGCATTCTAGTCGAAATCCCTTGCCCAAATGGACCAGCGAGAGCACGACAAGTGTCAAAACTACATACTGGGTTTAAAATGCAATCCATCATCGGACAATAAGAGGGTGAACTACACAAGAGAAACTCCTCTGAAATCCTCGATCGTTTCTCTCTCAAATTCACTCTGAGATTCACTGAGAATAAAGGGACTACATAATGCTGTCGAGGCACTCAATAGGTCGTCCCCCAGGCTTTTGGAAGTGGTCTCTGTGATGGCCTTTGCCAATCAGATCCGGCTGTCCTATAAGCTCACTATGCAGGTTGTGTGTTTCTAAACTGCAGCTTGGAAAAGATAACTGCATCGCGCATGCATACGCACATAAAACAAGAACGATTATGTGTCTCTCAGTCCAGGCTTAGATACAACTCTGGACTAATGCAAGATGGAAAGCACTGGATTGACATTAACAGGGGTGGAAATTAACTTTTTGGCTCACCTGCCAAGGTGGCTGGTAGACGGAAAATTCCCCCGGCCAAACAGATTTTTTACCAAAATAATAAATTGCCTTTTGTGTCACATATACATTTGTTTCTGTACTTCTAATTGAGATAATAAGGTATTATGTCAAATACAAACTTAAAGAAGAGAGTGAAATTTTAAGCAAAATTCTATTATTCATATTAAATGTACTTAAAACATAACAGTAAATTGTTTTATAAACTGACACGATGCTTATTAATCATTCAGCATAAATCTTATCACTGCTCACTCTTGTCATGCTTTATCATTCAATTTAAATCTCCTCATCAGACTGCTCACTTTCTACAATCCCCCTCTTCTGGCCTCCTGGTTCTGACAGAGTCCTTGCACAGCATCACAGCTTTCGTGGGATACAATTTTTAATACAGCCTATGGATCATTGTCTTTCATCTCTGGGGAGGACAGCAGGACCATTAGAAGATCTGACAGTGTGTCAGACACTGACTGGACCTTCAACTGCCCAGCTAAAAGGTAAAAACATTCCTAGCACAACTGTTGTAATAAGCTCCTAACACTAGCAGCTTTCACGCTGCCTTGTTTCACTGGGGTTTTGCGCCAATCTGCCGGCACTTTATGAAAAGTATGGACCAGGTTTTTATCCGCCTCTGAGCAGGGAAAGTTGGTGACAGACACGAGACAGAAAGACAGAGTGATCTTGTCTGTGAAAAGCCACAGCCGACATGCCGCTGGTTCCAGTAAAGCCGGATCGCTATGTGAAAGCCCACGTTTGCAGAATAGAGGCCCTTTCACACGGGATAAAGCTGCAAACTCTTTTTTAGTATGAATAAGCGAATGTGACATGTGCGGATATCCTTTCCGCATTCTTTCTATTAAAATATAACCATCACATATTCACAGGTTCAGTGCCTTATAGAAAGGAGGGACCTTATTGAGTGGCAACTTTAAGTGGCACTTATTGAAACTGAAAGTACTGCACTGTGTGGTCATTGTATTGCATGACAGTAATACAGTAATAATACATTTTGACAGTGTGTTATAGCATTTTGCCCAACAGCCAATACAAATTATATCTGTTATTGTAGGTATTTTTTTATGGTAACAAATCAGGGCAATTAATTGACTAATCATAATCACAATTTTCCAAAGCACAAAGTGACGTGTTCAATTTTCTTCTTATATCCAACCGAAAGTCCAAAACCCAAAGACTCTTCATTTACTATCATAAATGACAAAGAGTATATAGCAGCAATTCCTCACATTTAAGAAGCTGAAACCAGCAAATCTTTCACATTTTTGCTTTTAAAAAAAGTTGTCCATTAATTAATTATTAACTAATCTTTGCAGCTCTAGTAACAAATCAATTCCAACATTTTATAGAAGACTGAAAACAGCCTGTGAAGGGCAGCCTACTCTGAAATTACAATAGCCTATAAATGCCTATTTTGTTCCAATCTTTGTTTGTTTTGCTGTGTTTTGAATACCCTTTAGTTACCTACTAGAATTCAGCATGTAATTCACTGCATTTATTTATTTTCTTTAAGTTAAAGTAAACAAATGACTAGTGATAATTAGACCTCTGCTCTCTGTCCATGGTGCTGAAATATGCGCTATAATAGATAGGATGAAAGGCATTTTCGTTTCTCTTTCTAAGTCACGCACAACATGCAAACATAATGCATTGTGAATGTGAGCGAGAGCTCATCCACATACAAAAGCTACTAGGTGGAATACGTACCGTTCGCAGTCTTCAGCAAATGAAATCAAACGTCTGACGGAGCATCCAGGCAGTCTGTCCATCCAGTGTTGTGCATAAACGCGCACAAAGAGCGCAGTTCATTGAACGTGCTCATGTTTCTGGTTAACTGTTAACTGAATTTTCCCGTTTGTGAACGTGAAGTCACACGCTGCTGAGTTAAACTCATTATACACTACTAAAATAACAGAAAGGAGTACGCATTTGGAAGAAGGCTACGGCAGTGCGAAGAAAAGATAGAACTTAAGTTTCACTTTCATTTTCCGGCGGAGCTTCAAGGGCGTAACCATGGTATAGAGATATATTTATATATGAAAATGAACAGTAGTCATATTTACTGCAGAGAGAAATAATATATACACTACGGGCTTAGACTGCCGGGGGACTCCCCCGGGCATGATGCACTGAGCTCTCCTCCTCTCCCTCTCCATCTAATACATTCTTGTCCCTTTAATGCATGTTACTAACTCAACTTCTTCCCTTTCCCATAGTTTTGTGTTTCAAGACACGTACTTCACCCATGTTCTTGCTCAACACCCACTGCTACAAATATTATTAGTCCTATTACTAAGCCTATTCTTATTATTATTCTTTATTCTCTCTAACAGACTTTACAAACTGATCCGCAAGGCCAATGACGTTGTGGGGGTGGAGCTGCTCTCTGTCGGTGGTGTCAGAGAGGAGGAAGCTGTCCAAACTACATGTCATCTTGGACAATGTCTCCCACCCACTCCATGACGTGCTGCTCAAACACAGGAGCACTTTCAGTGCAAGACTCTTCCCCCCAAAATGCACCACAGAGCGTCACAGGAAGTCATTCCTGCCTCTATAACTCCTCCTTCTAAAGCTGATGATACACGGGGCAACGTTTTGAGCAATGTTGCTGGGCAATGTTGCTAGTGGCAAGTCCGACTATGTTTTGAACGGATAGCGGCGGTGCGGTGCGGGTGGCGGAGTGGTGGGGGAAGGGGATTACGGTAGTAATCTTTACTCATTACCATTGACGGCAAAGTTGCCCTGCACGATTGCTCTAAAAGTAGCTCCGTGTATCATCAGCTTTAGTGTCTGACACTTACAGTTATTAAACTAGACCTTATGATGTGTTTTTGTGCAATATTATCTGTTCAATAATTAATGTGCAATATTCTCTGCTGCTTTTTATTCACTAGTCCTTTTTGGTTCACCATAACAATTCTTTAAAAAATGTAAATTTTGTACATACCACACTCATTTCTTTTCTTATATTTTATATTTATACTGTATTTCTTTACCTACTTTCTATTATTATATCTATTTTTTATCCCTTGATACGTATGCAACTGTAACAAAAGTATTTCCCCTCGGGGATCAGTATTTCTGATTTTGATTATTTTTATTGCTATCACTAATAATATTGATGATCTCGAGATAACAAAACAGTAGTTTAACACAGGGGTTGGCAAGAACGTTTCTTAATGGTAATTTCTAGGTGGTTTTAGTATCACTGATTAGCTCAGTGGGTAAGGTACATGACTCATTGTCTCAATTTAGTTAAGGTAAAAGTAAAAATGTTGCTGTGTTTTATATATTTTATATATTACATATTTAGATTATTGTGAATCATGCATTTGTAAACAGCATTTATGGTTCTAGGTTTAAGCTAATTCTTAACAATATTAATTGGGACTGTGGCTAATGATTCTTTTCAAGTTTAATCTGCTGATTGTTATGTTTGGTCTGTAAAAAACAATGTGAGAAGTGCCCATCACAATTACCAGTCCAAAGTTACACCTTCACAATGTTTGCTTGGTCCAGCCAATAGTTTTGTATGTGTAATAAATTAAAATAATTACATTTGAGAAGCTGGCAATTGTTGGCATTTATGCATGAAAAAAACCAACATCCTTGAAACATTTTATGTTTTTATAAGTTAGTTTAAAAGGAACAGACTCCCAGTTTTGGATGATGTCTTGCTCTAGCTCCTGCATGGTTTGAATGCGCTCATTGTATATTGCTTTGTATAAAAGCACTTGCCAAATGAATATGAAAATAATCTAATAGAAAATAATATAAAAAGTACAATATTTCGCTGTCTGAAATGTTATGGTATAAAGTGCCATGCAAATACTCAAGTAAAGTGCAACCACACATGTGTCAGCATAGGTACTTAGTTACATTTCACTACCCCACTACACTACTGTATGTTATCTTTAACAGAAAACAACTCCAGGAAACACAGTATAGGTTAGCAAATATATTTTAATATATAATATTTATATTCATTTTAGCACAATGACAAAATGGCATAATTTCAGTTTAGTCTCATTTAAATCATGACAAAAGCCACACCTTTATATCTGTTTGAATAATACCTCATATATGTTGATGCAGTCGTTGCAAAATAAATCCTGAAGTACTTCTTTCCCCATGAGAGGAAACCCTTAGCAAAAGTTTCTAACAGCATTGAGCCCATGGCATTCAACAGGGTTATGTTGTGAGCTGTATGAGAAAATGTAAAATGGATGTAATGACGCTCTTCACTGCATTGTTAAGCAGAGTGTCACATCCTCCAAAACCACGTCAGATTCTTCGTCACTGGGACAGAACTGGATCACTTCCTTGTCTCAAACTAAATTCAACTGTGTGTAGTTTATCTAACAGGCATACATCTACAGCATTAAGTCTTGACTACATGATGGACTGGATTGAAAAAACACACCCGTCACTTGCTACACCATTTGAGAACAAACACATTACAAAATAACTGGCAGAATACAAGTGAAAACATCCCACTGACTGAATCTCACGGCAGTGACACACAGGGCAACTCTCATTAAGAATTATACTCAGCGATGTTAGTTCAAATAAAATGTTTAGATTTATATTAGAAATGTTTACATTTGCTGATGTTCTTCAAACTTGTGGAACAAAACTGCTAAAAGTTAAGTTTGCAGCTGAAAATTAAGAGCTGAAATTATTATCCCTACTAAAGCATTTTGGGAAAATCTCTGCTACTTGTAGGTGAGTGTTTCAAAATCACAGACGTGTCCACACTCAACGGCACTGAGATCATTTGTATAACACACTATTAGACTTTTCAAGTCTTGACACCTCTGCAAAAACCTCCTCTAACCTACAACTCCTTCATGCTGAGTCAAATTGTTAGATGCCCTTAAAACTTAAACCACACCACAGGAATGTTTTTGAGCCTTATGTTAAACCTTCAGTTACAAAGATCAGATTAGTGTTGAAAACACAAGACATCAAAATAGCCACCTTTGTCCACTACTGCAAAATGCACACACACTTCAGGAAATCTCTGATCTAGCCACAAACATTAAGGTGACTATATCTGAAATAAAAGATTGTTCACCACAAACATCATGAGACAATGGTCAATGTCAAGCATTGCATGATTTCAGGTCCATCCACCCCAGCACTTTGCAGCTGAATCAAGTTGGCACTTTTACCTATGATGTGAAGCTTGCTTTTTTTGTGTATGAAATGTAAACTTTATTTGTCAAAATCCTGTGCCGCTCTAAGTTGGTGAGGTTAAAAAGCTTGTGCACAATATTCAGTAACGCCCAATTGAATGTGACTCACACTCTTCCTGTAACATTAAAAGGTGCAAAGGAAAACATAAAAACATTGCTGCACAACTTCATCTGATTTGACTGACCAGACATTCAGCATTTCTAACATTACCACACATTATTATCATTAATTACATCTCACCCATTATACAGCATTCTTGTGCAATACCTGCCACATTCAAAATGATACTGACTAGATGCAGAGGTGTGAAATCTTTTAAACACACCAAAGATATTTCTAAAAGTATGAACCTACATATTTCTCTCTGCAACCAAAATATTCTTCACGACTTACACCACTCTACCCAGCACTGATACCTATAGTTACTTCTTCACTCAATCACTTAGTCCATGTGCCCTTTAATCATTCACTAATATCTCACTTGAAAAATAGATAGCAAATAAAACTATGGAGCTTGAAGTGTGCTTATTGTCCAGATGAGGGTTGTCAATTGGCTTTTTTTTATTTTTTTTATTACACCCCATGGGTTATTTTTTGTGTTAAATGAGTAGAATGAGAACATACTTTGCATGAAAACACTGCTAAAGATTGGCTGCAAAGACTGTAATCTACAAATCAGGGGTTAACATTTCTACACACACCTAGCCCAAAATAACTAGACACCAAACCATTTAAATGTCCTGCTCTTGGTGCAATGCGCAAGTGACAACATGTCTCATACGAACAAAATGTCAGATTATGACTTTGTGACTGCTTTTATCTTTTGTCATGATTTGGAAACTCTCTGAATAAAATCATTTCACAAGCAGTGACCACGACACGTCTGATCAAATACGACACAGTAAAACATAATATGTTACATATCAGTAAATACAATGAAATGAATATCATTTTTTTTGTAAAATCATCACCCAAAGCCAAAACAGCAAAACCTAAATGAAGAGTGTGACATGGATTATAAAAGTGTTTTATGCATGGTCCGCTTAACATTAGATAAGCAACACGTTTTCATCCCTTGATTTGTTTCCAGTTAGTAAAACAAAATCAGGATACGTAAAAACAACAATATATAGGCATTAAATAAATTAATCAATTTCAAAACAAACATGATATATATTCAAAATACATATTTACAACCTAATAAAATGTAAAGAAAACAACAACAATGAAAAAATAACTCAAAAAACACTGTCTTTAAAGGAAAATGATACTCTTGTTTGAATGAATTTTAATTGACTGTTAGCATTACATGCTGAATACCTTCACACAATATCTGCTGCTTCATTTTTCTACTTCATCTACTCTCTTGTATTGGTTATAATCAGGTATTCACCACAAATACATAAATATTTAGTAGGTTTATACTTTTGCAGCATTTACTTTTGAGTTGATATGTACGTGGTACATGGAAATCCAAATTTGACATCATTTGTGACTGATATGTTGATATATTATGTGCCGATGGCTACAGAGGAAAATACTAAGCAATGCCAAACATATAATCTGCCTGGTGATGAAGTCCAAGGGGCTGTGCCACGGTTACCATTGTGACATTGATGTGGGTTGACTTTAGAGGAAACAGGCAGTAGATGAAGGCAGTCCACTCAATAAACGGCTGCAAATGTTTTAACTTAACCAGGAGCGTCTACAGCAACAAGCAGTTGGATTTTTTCTTTTTTGATGTTTACAAATATTGCATGGACAAACTACTGACAAACTACCATACAATTGTTAACATGAGTCCATTGCCTACTGAAATTATGAGTGCGGGAAAAAAAGTCACTTTGTCACATACATCTAAATTCACAAGCTGCTATTTAAAAAGCACTTCAAATAAAAAAGAAGAAAACATAAAAATACAATGGCCCAAATCCTCCCTTGCTGTTATATATATTTTTTTTACAACAATGGAAACACATGCTAAGATCTGAACAGAAAAACCTGTCTTTTGGTTTCTAAAATTACCAAAGCTTTTCACTTAAAGTGGTGAGTGGAAATCTAACATGTGTGGCCAACAATCACATTAATTTTAACACTGAGAAAGACCATTACCCACAGGTCATAGCAGTAAGTACATCTGCCTCCCTTTGAATGACAAATTGCTCTCATTTCAGCTCCGTGATAAATGCAGTGGTGCCATTTTATGTTCACTTGGCTCAAGCTACAGGAGGGCAGCTACCGCTTCACTAAGGGTCAGGCCTAGCGAGGGCTCGTCTAGATGCTGAAGGTAAAATCCACCCTGAAATACTCTAACAAATACACTGTTACATATTATCAATCTGAAAAGGTCGAGCAATAGAGTAAGGGTTGTAAGGGTTTCTTTTCTTTTTGGAGACTGTTAAGCGATTAATTTCACCCTACAGCCAATAATGGTGCAAAACTGCTAGTTTAACAGAGGTTTTTTCGCTTTGATTCTAAGGGACAAAAACTTACCGCTTGATAAAAAATCAGGACATCACCAAATTCATCAGGATTCCACTTCTGACGACCACGCATGTGTACGCCAAAGTTCATGCCAATCAGTTCTATAGTTATTAAGATATTTCAGTCTGAACCTAATTGGTGGACCTAATGGTCGAATGCCATCCACCGCTCTGTTGATAGATAAAACCTTAAATGCAAAATGGGCACAGTTCAATATAAAGTATAGCATACATGACAGTGTTAAATTATTTAAGGGTGGACACTTCCTTTAACAATATTTTCAAAAGCTAGCCTGATATCAGGACGAATTGTTAACAGTGGATGTTTTATACACTGTTTGCAGACTATTATAACCATTAAAGGACTATTAAATGTTACCTTCAGACTTTTCTTGCAAAAGAGTAGAATGGGAGATGCAGGAGAAGACTCCTATAGTTGGTCCAACAAGTTTTTCCAGTTTCAAACAATGAATATTGAGTAATTAGCATTTATTTTCTTTCCTAAAACTGCTCATATTCAGTTCCTTTTATGAAGTGCCACTCAACCCAGCACGTCAATGATGCAAATTCAGTATCAGAATCTGACACGCCATACTTTAAGAGTTCAGTTCTTTAGATTAAGTGATTTGTTGGGAGGATATGTTACAGTGCAGCGTTTTCCTACAGACGTAAATGCATAGGATACAAATCAGTCCATCACTACAATATACGGCGAGCAATACAGAAGAGAGAAAAAAAAAAAACATCACGGAAAACAAATCACGCAAACTGTGATCAAAATAACCGTCTTGGTCGTTGGCACTGGGGTCGGAGTGCAGCGTGGTGGTGAGGGAGAGGAAGTAGGTAAGTAGCGGGGTTGGGAGAAATGACTAGTCATACACTGATTTTTATGATGTTGGTTCATTTTTTGATCCTACAGCTTTGATCACAACACAGACAGGGGCAGAAATAGACCCACAGACATTCTGTACACACCAACACTGAAGTCCTTAGCAAATTTCAGAATAAAAGTAGCATCACTCTCTTTAAAAGTGAGAGTCGTTTTGATTAACTTGACGTGTGTGCCGGCATCTGTCTCCGCGTCACACACAATCTCTCACAGTTCTGAAAAATTTCGGGGTAAGTCCGCTAAGGCTTCAACGCGGGAAAAAAAGAGACACAGTGTTCAAAAGAGCATTATAGTTTAGTTTCAACAGTCTTGCTAGCTATTATGTTGGTGCATGGTGGGAATGGCATAGTCAGCGGGGGGTGAGCGGCTGTGTTCATTAGAGATCCTTGTCACAATCTATTATTTATGTACAGTTTATTAAAGGACATGTTTTATTATCACATGCCATGTTTTCCTTCTGACGTTTTCTCCCCTCTTTCACTTACATCTGCACCTATTTTTTTATTTTCAGAGGCCTTAGTTTGCCCTCTTTCCAAGCTGGTCACTTATTTTCTGTGCAAGAAATGAAATGGTAACAAAGGGGTGAAGAAGGTCAATTGTTTGTCTCTCTATGTATCAAGATTTTCACACAGTAAATATAATAACCAATATGATCTTTCAAAATATATTTTTGTATTTTCTAATGTAGTTCAAAGCCCAACCAGACAGGATAAAACCGAACGTACAGTGGAAATTCGCTGCTAGAGCTACAGTGTTGTCTATGTTGACTACACACTGCAGGTCAATATATTATATCTTCTAAATTTTCTTACAATATATTATTAGTATATTTACATCTCTAGCCAGCTCATACAACAGACTTTCATGCTAACTGGTCCTCTTGATGAAAAGGGAACATCCATAGTATAGAAATAATTGCTATAACTTTCCCATCTAAATATTTTCTATTTGCTATGACTCAGGCTAAAGGCAAATATTGGCTTTTCATATTGGAAAATCAGCTTTAAATATCTTCTAAAATATTAGATTTTTTGCTCTTGAAACACGATATAATTATCTGTGTAAGAGTAAAGGGAATGCATACAGAACCTCTAGCTGAGGAACAGTGACTGTCCTGTCCTTAAAGTATGACTTAAACTTTTGTTTCAAAATACAGCAGCCTCAAGGCAATGTTGCCAAAAGAGGCAAGAAGATGGTAACTTAGTCATTTTTAAATGAACTATGCAGGTTTTAAAGGGATAGTTAGACACTTTGGGAAATTATTTCACTTAACTGTTTGATGTTAGATGAAAAGATTGTTACCACTCTCAGACACGTACATGGTTTTGATCTTCTTGTCTAAGTCATGGCAAAAATGTGAATAAGTGTCTTTCCCAAAATTTCGAACTATCCCTTTCACATTGCAAACACACCTGAACAATGAATGCAGCTACACACTAAAACAATCACCCTCATAGAATTGGACCAGAGAACCATCAGTCATATGTGTGAGAATTAGATTAGTTATTAGATTAATTTTATTTTTACTAAGTATTAACGTATTAGCTGCAGCTTTGCTTTTTAAACAGTTTTTGATCGTGTATTCTGTATTTACATGTTTTACTCTCATTCTCTTAAGTTTCATCTCCAGATACTAGTTTTCACTTTTGGCATTCTGGTTATGAGTAAGCACTGCTGAATCATGTTAGTCATAGTTATGTATCACTGTACATACTATGAGTACACAGCTTAATTGTTTCTATGGTTACCTAACAGCTTTCTGATGTTTTCATAATTTTTGATTTGTTTTTTTGCCATTGAATTGTGTTATGTTTTGAAGGCAGGGGTTGTAGTTTCAAATTCTTCATGGGTGGATGTTTTAAGTGTAACAACCATGACTGACACACACACACACAGACAGCTGCATGAACACAGCATCACAGATTGAACAGTGTTTTCAGATTGCACTCATTCTGAACTGACCCACTCAGCGTTTGAATCGAGGGTAGACTTTGGCTCTCTCTCTCTCTCACTCCTCATACACATACGCTGTTGGTCCGTCTCCAGGTTTCTTCTTCTAATGTCTTTCTTTCTGCAGCTCTCCCCTCAGCTTTGGACCGGTCTGCATCGCTACGATCTGATGGTTGCTTTGTAGGTGGCTGCCTTGCGTGGGGTTCTGTGTCACAGCATGTGTTAGTGCAAGTAGGGTGGCATGGCTGTATGTGTGTGTGTGTGTGTGTGTGTGTGTGTGTGTGTGTGTGTGTGTGTGTGTGTGTGTGTGTGTGTAAATGTGAGGGATGTGTGAGGAAGGGGAGTGATAGGGTTGGTCAGAAACGGTTGGTCGGTTGATTGGAGTGCCAGGAGTGAAGAAATCAAGGTGCAAAGATCCGGGCTGGGGGTCGTGACTTCACACTTTTTTAGGGGGAGGGGCCAACTTGATGATCTCATCTTCAGAGGGCTGGCGGATGATGTCTTTAAGGTGGGAGGGGTTGCAAGAAGAGGGTAGAGAGAGAGAAATAATCATAAACCTATGTTTTAAAAAAAGAAGGTTGTAGCCAGAACAAGGAAAGAGAGCACATCACACCCATTGTAGCATCTTTGGCTCAGTCTTTTTAATTATAAATTTCTTCTGTACCAAAGCTGTGGAATAATCTACCTGTAAATTTCTGATATGAAATTATAATCCTTAAGAATTTTATCATGTCAAACCCCATTTCCTTTTTTGTGGTCTGCATTTTTTAGCAATAGCCACTCAATGTTTCACATTATGTAATTACCCCTCTATAGTACATTTATTATATTATTTGATGATTAGTAGCGGACTCCACCATTCCTGCACAGGATTTAAATGACATACATGAGGGATTCACAAAATGCATGCATACAGTGGGGCAAGTACCAATGGTGCAACCAGTGCAATGCACCAGGGCCCAGCTGATTACAAGGGCCCAACAAGGGCCAACTGTAATTGCCACGTGGATCGTGATCAGATGCTGTGATCCATTCATTCATATTGTGTTGCCATAATGAGTTGCTGTGCATTTCTTGATTGCTATTTGTTCTGTGGGTATTGACATACTGTGTCGGCTACCTTGTGTTGATTTGTTACTGCAAGCTGGCCAAAGCTATTTCGGTTGTTTGATAGTCGGAGACAGCAGGTTTGAGTCGACGGCAGGCTGTAATATTTGCGTTTAGCACTTCGGCTGCTGATCAAAAGGTTCAGGTTTGCAATTGCGTGGAGTCGTTGTGCGTCTGTACCAATGATCTGGACGCCCATGTGTACATGAACATGCTTTTTTGAGGCGAGGGGCACAAGAAAAATAATCACACCAGGGCAAATCACAATTATGTTACGCTGCAGCCTGCATGTAATGAAGCTTTCTGGTTTTTGTATCATCAATATCACTGTCACTGTTTACTGCACACTCTTGCTGGATATTAAACCTGAGTGCTTATTGTAATAAAAACTGAAAAGTACAATAAGTCTAATTCTTTTGATATCATAGACTGCTTGGGAAAATGCATTTAGTATTTTCCTCTATCTGAGTAAGCAACAAATATTAATACCACTTTTTTTTTTAAGTAATAAAGAAATAATATAAAACTGTAATAAAAAACCCAAATCATAGTAAAAGATCAAAAACGGGGGAAAAAAAACTGTCAAGTTATTTTTGTGCACATGGCAAAAAATGAGCTAAACAGACATTTAATCATTTTTAATAGTAGAAGAACTGATGTTTTTTATTTGGCCATTGCACCTGTGTTTTTATTGTGTTTTCTCTCGACCTGGCTGCAAGCTGAATTTCCCATGTGAACTGAACTGAGCTACAAAAAAGCTGTAGAAAGGAAATAATAATGGCTGCAATGGCTGCTGAGAGAGGACGAAAATAACAGGAACCTGCTCTTATAACATGCCCGCATGACTGATTTCAATATTGTTGATTTACACTCAACAGAAAAATTACCAGATTAGTTCCCTCAAATTCATAATTAAAACCGGAATACATGTAACATAAAGTCAAGATTCATGCTTTAAAAATATTTAAATTTAAATAATATTTAATAATAATAAATCAGGCAATATATGTGGATGATAGTTTGTACTCAGTAAAGGATGTTTTGCCTGCAGTTTAGTTTGTTGTGTGTTTGTGTGTTCATTAATTAAGTAAATAAATAAATACATTTGGAGTAATATATTCACCTTGTTCTGTTATTTTATTTAGAACAACTAATTAAAACTATTCACAAAAAGTTTAAATCACTTTAATTGGTGTAAATGATCATTTATTAGAACATTAAACTACAGCCAACATAAATAAACCATAACAACCTGAACGGCATAATATCATTATTTGAATAAATGAAGTGAGGAAAGTAAATGTTGCAAATACAAAATAAATCTTTTTTAAAATGTGTTTCAACTTACTTTCAGGACTAATCCAAATGTTTAAACTAGCGTGCTTCTCAGAAATGTTTGTGTCACAACTTTTTCTTAGGAATTTACAGCAGTGGTTCTAAACCTTTTTTGCTAGTCACCCCTTAATATGAAGCAATGATAACTTGCTACTCCTTATCACAGGTTGAAGAGATTTACCAGTTGTGACCTGTTCCAACCAAAGGGTGATGTTTTTGTCCTGAAGAAGTAAAATTATTAATTAACTCTATCCTGCTAATCATCTTCAGAAGTATATTGCCACCACTAACAGAGGCCCTGACTCACAGGCTGGGAAACGCTGAGGAGAGGATCTTAAGGTAATTGTCTCTTTAGCCATTAGAGGGCAGAACCTGACTGGATTTGGCAGACCAGAAAGCCAATCAGAGTAACTTCTTACACATCAAAGATACAGTGATGTCCTAAAAGGGCAATTTTGAAGAAACTGACCCTATATCTACATGTTCTAGAGATAAAGCATATAGAGTGTGTTACCTTTGTATTTCTTGGCTGAGGGGATGCGTGTGAGCTTGGTGTCGATCTCGTCATCCTCAGAGATCTTGAGCACGGTGGTGCGGTACTCGATCACCCTCGTCAGCAGGTCCGGCCGCCGTGAAATCTCGAAGATGTGCTCGATGTACGACAGATTATCTGCACGAGAAGTGTTGTTAGCAGGCTTGTTCACTGAAAACACGGTAAGTGTGTTTCAGACATGTCATACAAAGATGCTTCTGTCATCAGTGGAGGCCTACTGGTTGTGGAAATAAGAAGAGACAAACTCTTCCTCTTTAATTCCAGTTAAGTAGCAACACAGTAAGAAAAGATAAAATATAACCTAAATGATTTGATTGATGATTTGATATCTCACCTTGGGCCAGCTTGTCATTCTTCTCCAGGTAGCTGAACCACTCCTTGGAGGAGGTGATGTTGTTGCTCTGGTCCTCTGGGATGTCCTCCTTGCAGGCCGACTTGAGCTGCTCCAAGTCTTCGTTGGTGATGTTTTCAGACAGGTCGCTGAGCAGAGAGCTGTACTCCGCCATGGTCTGGACAGAGGCAGACAGAAGAGAGAACAGTTAGATATTCTGAATAAAATGATACCAAAAGTAAAGAGGATTTCTGAGCAAGGCAACAGAAACTAGGGAGAAAGAAATGTTGTTAAACAGCCCACATACTTCCCAGAGTCCAGAAAGGAAAACAGTTTGGACATCTTAGCTAATGACAATAGCATACTGTCAGAGTGGGATGGAAAAAGCACAAAATCACTGAGAACAGAACATATGAAACAGGTCATTCTTCTCTCAGTGTCAGATCGTTTTGTGGCAGATTTAATTCTAAGTAGACAGCTGAAAGAGAAAACTGACAGGATGGGTCAAAAGGTGGTGAAGGACTTTTGTTAGCATTCAGCTTTTGTTTTCCATCACAAGGTTAGCCATTTATATTGACGTTACTGACGTATTTTCCTCATTGTCGACAAATCTCATGGAAAGACCAAAACCAACTGATCCTACTAACAAATATTGTCTGTGTATCTAAATCCTGAAAGAGCAGTCTTCTTTTGTTATCCAAACACAGTTATGAACACCTCAGTGACCCATCCTGTTGCATTAAGTAAAATGACGTGGCAGTTTATCTCAAGTCTGTTCCACATAAGCCATCCTGCTGCTGTAAATGCTCACGGATGCATCAAATGTGTATTAATCCACTGCTAAAATTAGTCCCCAGCAAAGACACTTTCCTCCTTTTTGAATTTTGAAGTTTGCAATGAACTACAGTGCCCAGCTGTCTCAGGACATTACTGAGCCTTTATAAAAGTTTTACAATACATATATAACAATATATTTGTGCGCTGTTTTTTTAAACATTTGGTAGGAACCAGTGGGCTTGAGGCTGAGAGGTACAAACAGGGCAGGGATGCCTGAAAGTAAAAGAGAGATCGACTAAAGCATTGTTGGCTATCCTCATTTCATGGGATTTGTTGATGATAAGAAAAATATAGAATAACACAACTATGTACTCTCAACATATATTAGCAAGATCCATAAAGATGGACTTTGGCCTACAGCATTATGTGCCAAAAGGGGGGGGGGGAAAACACAAGCTATTAGTTGCTTTTCATCCAATCAAATAAAGATACAATGACAATGAATAAGGCTCTCTGAGTCCCTCTAGTGGACTTAAAGAAGAAGAACATTTCTGTACTACTGTAGAATCAAAGAACCAGGTATTTGTCTATGTATTGGCTCTGTGTGCATGCAAGACATTTAAATACATAATATGTGAAACATCAGATGCATGTTTGCTTAGTCAAGAGATCATGACTTCACCATAACTCTTAATGCTCTATGTCCTCCCACATTCAGATTCTTCAAATGTGTTTAGCTGCCTAATAACGTTATCCTGATTTTCCATACTTTCAGTTGTTATTTACTGTGTTACTGTGAATTTACTCCATACACACAGCATTTCTATGTCCATCCCAATGGAGGGGGATCTCTGTTCCTCTCTGAGTTTTCTTCCTTCTAAATCCAGGTTGTCATATGCTGTACAGATTGTGGTACAGGTCAAAAAATGTAATGTGATTTTAGGCTATATAACTAAAACTGACTTGACTTACATTTAATTTAATTATTGTGATACTGAACTCAAGTAACCACAGAACCCTGAGTGACCAGCAGAGGCAGCAGCTGAACACTTTCCGTATTTTGAAAGTATAATGACATTAAGTTGCCAAAAGACACAAGGTCTTTGTTAACTTTCATGACATGATGGTTTAATACAATCAAATGTTCACACCTTGTGATTCTTCCTAAAGTTCACTTAAACCACATTTGCCTACATCAATCATGTGCAACATATATTACATTAGCTTAATCAAATTTGCCAGTACACTTTTAAAGGCAATCTATAATTTTTAGAAAAACAGAGATTAATTAATTATGTGTTTAACTTACACGGTTCTCCCTTCATGAACTCTTTATTTTTACTATATATTGCATTTATTACAGGATCCATAACATCGGCCTATATTAACAGTGTCAAAATAACTGAAAGTGAAATATCTTACACCAGCTTTCCTCTTGCATAAAAAGAATAAGGTGCATGAAGCTGAGATGCAGCCATGACACACTTTCTTCTGAGAGGCACTATTGACTTAAACTTTGCTAAAAGTTACATTTAGCCTCTTAATATTTTCAAGGAATACTTTTTACTCATGAGTCAAAGTTTGCATTTCCTAGACATGTTATGCAAACTGGCACTGATCTTTGGAGGAACAGAAAATTGATTAAATTGATTTTCACTGGCTTGTTTTTTGAGATTTAGACCTGAAATGGGAACAGTGGTTAAAAGATTCAGTACACAGGCATGCAGTGGTTACGGATCAGGCTAAAGGAATGAGTGTTGTCGAGATTGCAGGGTTCAGGTTATCCCCACAAAGAGTTGTCTGTACGTGTGTGTGTGTGTGTGTGTGTGTGTGTGTGTGTGTGTGTGTGTGTGTGTGTGTGTGTGTGTGTGTGTGTGTGTGTGTGTGTAAGTGTGTGTCACTGTGTAGGAGTGTGTGTGTTGGCATGCGAGTTCAGAAACAGGCAGCCAGCGAGAAAAAGACAAAAAGAATCCCAGTGAAAGAGAGACTGAAAAACAGACACAGTGATTCAGACATGTTGTGAGGCCGTCTGCTCTGTTCAGCTGTGTCTGTTTAGAAGAAGCAAAGAAAGTAGATCACAAGGAAAATGCAGGCTTTTACAGTTCATGAACGCAGTGTTTCAGACTGCAGCTCATATCTCCGTTATTAACATATTTGGGTCAAGCTATTCATATGCATATTCATATCCAGATGATCTCAAATATCTGTGCATATTACTGTAGATGTTATGGTGAATTGCACAATGTGAAGAGCTATGAAGGAACAACAAAGCAAATTATTATTAGAACAATTAGTATAATTCATTAATGATTTAAATCAACTTTCAAGCAAAAATTTTGTCTGATTCCAAAAGCGAACAATTGCTAATTTTCTTACAGGTTTTCTGTGATAGTAAACTGATTATCTTTAGGACAAAATAAGATACTTGAAGATATCACCTTTGTAAACCTTCTACGTTTTTCAGTATTTAAATGTATACACAAGTGGTTTCGGGCTGAAATGACAATAATTAACATACTTATTATTTTTTGATCATTTAGTCTACAAAATGTCAGAAAATAGTGACAAATTGCCCTTCACAACGTCACGTGTCTTCTTTAGTCCAATCAGCAGTCTAAAACCCAAAGTTTCAGAGTGAAATCAGCAACATAATACTGGTACTTGTAATGATATATTAATTTATATTAATATAATATAAATATTGCCATGAAATCTGATTCTATATGCCAAAACTAAGCAAAAGGTAAGCACATATCTTAATAATCGAGCTAATACAAGTTTATTTATTGGTTTATATTTACATTCCTTATACTTGACATACAGTAGGAGCCAATAAACATTACTGTCCATACTATAAAAAATGATCAAGTCAGATGACGGAGGAATCAAGAATATTAAGATTTGGCTTGTTGTCTAAAAGGTGGCGTCATACCGTATGGTGGGCTGCTAATGACATCATGCTACAGCAAACCAAAAACCCACTGGAGGTCCAGTTTCCAACATTTTCAACCTCCAAATGTTCCAATGAAACGGCTGCCTCAGGATTTCCAAAGGCCTTGATATCCCAACATTTGGTGTGATTTTCCCCAGCCCTCATTTTAGCTATGTGGAAATGATTAAGGTCACCTAAAACCAGCTGCATCTGAGCTGAATGGGATCCAGAGTCTCTTCCTCAGGGACACTCTGGCAACTCTGGGAGTGATACAAGTCGCAGTAGGACCGCCTCCTTTTCTACCCATCCCTTGTGCGTTGAAACAGAAGCTTCCTACAGTATAAACATGCATCTGAAGGCATACGTTTCTTTCTGTGTCAAACGCAGCAGCCCCAACCCCCTCCCTGACTATCTGTCCCTGGCATCCATGCATCTGGCAAGAGGCTGCCACTCAGTGCAGTGCATCATGGGCACTGGCACGAAGCTCTGTCTGCCTCTGATCCCCTCAGTCTCATCAGAGATAAACACGCCGTACAGAAAGCCCAGAAGAGCTCTGTGATGAGTGGTGTGACCTATATACAGTAACAGAGCTGCTGCTACATGCAGCTACCACCAGGGGGCCCCCATTCGCTGTGGAGCATTAGTCACTGTAGCTGCAGCTTGTGCTTATTTAAGCATCTCATGCTATCTTTACTTAAGTGTCTTTAGCATGCTCATGTGGACATATGGATAGGAGCTGATGCTTTATAGCTGAGCAGGAGATAATTTCTGCTTAAAGATACACAGCAATGATGGAGAAAAAATATTATTAGACTACTCATTTATTCAAGAATAAAATAAAATTGGACTTTTTTATGTAAAATCTGAATTACAAGCTTGTAACAGGTGGTTATATGAATAGGTCTAAATGCTGTACAGACAAACAGTGATAAAGTCAGCATGTGATGTATGGGATGATGCAGCATACCACAGCAGATATGATAGTTAATGTAACTGTCCCACGGGCTGATTTAAGGTCAGGTTTGTTTGTCTGTTCTCTAATGGCTAATGGTGGCATTTGGTTTGGTTTGTCTGATCCAAGATCTCAGCCTCAGGGAGAGGGCACAATGATGACAGAGCGCTTTTACTGTGCATGTGTGTGTGTGTGTGTGTGTGTGTGTGTGTGTGTGTGTGTGTGTGTGTGTGTGTGAGAGAGAGAGAGAGAGAGAGAGAGTGGAGAGAGAGAGAGAGAGTGTGTGTGTGTGTGTGTGTTATTTCAGTCTTAAATGTCGCATTCATCTCCTCTCTAACCAGAGCAACTTGCTCAATCAACACAAAGCACTGCGTGGGAGAGAGCAGGGATATGCACCTTAACTCCAGTGAACACAGCACGACTACAAATACTGTGCGTGTCTGTGTGTGCATGTATTTGAAGTGAATGTGTGTTTGAACGCGTTGACTCACGAGCTTGTGAATCGTGTGTGTGACGG